TGACGCGGTCCCGCGTAATAGACGTTTGAATTCAAACGGCCTTTGCGCGGAAACCCGCGCCGTCTATTCTCTCTGTCAACCGCCAATCGACGACGGCCGACACCGACACGCGATAAGCGCGCCTGGAAATGTCGACCGCCTGTACCGCGAATCGGCTCGTAGTCAGTTAGTTCTACGACCGCGCTTCGATAGTGACAAAACACCACGCACCCACCTCACCACACAAAAAACCAAATCCGATTTTATCGAAAGTTTTGAGTAAAATTTCCGTAATTCTTACTCTCATTTTTATTTAGTTTTCATTTATTTAGTAAATCTTCCCGCCTAGATAGGTACTAAAAATGTTCAATGCTGATCTCTGAAAAGTACCAATTTACTTTCTGAAACCACCCCCACGTTTATCTTTTGAAGATCAATAAGTTATAAAATCTTTTTTTTTTTATTATAATTTATAGGTACTTTATAGTCTATAAAGTACCTATAAATTGTTTATACATACAAAACAAAAAAACACTATTGTAAAATCAGAACATTCATCGCTGCATCCACAGTGCCGTAGCTAGATACTTCTGTGCCCCGGTGCAAATTGCCGTGAAATCGGTGTAGGTGCCCCATAATTTTATAACATAATTTTCTTTTTTCTTTGTTGTAAATTTTAGGTCACATTATATCAGATAATCGGTAAGGGCGTAGGGCCCCTTCAAGATCAAGTGTCCCGGTGCATTGCACCTCCTGCGCCTGCGGTTTCTACGGCACTGTGCACCCATCTTCTTCACTCGAATCCATAAAACAATATTAAAAGCTTTAAATTATTATTAATTTATTTTTCTAATAATATAATAATAATAATTATAAATGGTATTATATTTATGAAAATCAATAATTATCTTATAACAAAAACATAGATAATATATATATATATTTAATGTATCGATTTAATGTATTTTTAATTTCTTGAAGAGTAAAAAACAGTTACAAGAAATATAAAAATAAAACTATAAAATCTATTCAACCTATATTAATACCAACAAATCAAACATAATAGGGTAGATTTAAAATCTAGAATCATAAGATTATACTGTAAAAAATATGTATTTATATTTTATATGAATTAATATACGTAGAAATTGAATCGTATTTATTTTAATTTTCCTATAAAATTTAGTTCACATTTTGCACATTTGTAAACAATAATACTATAATAGTATGTGACGAAATATTATAATATATGATATTCTATATATATATATATATGTATTTATAACAGTTTATAATACATTTAAAATATAATAAATAATGAATACAAAACAATTAGTACATATTTAAGTTCATTGAATTACTCAAATTATTAATATTGTTAGATAAATTTGTAATTAAAAAATAAATAAAATGTAATTTTAACAAAAAAAAAACTAAAAACTTAATTAATCATCTATTAATTATATGAACAACAATATTGTAAAATAACTTCATAAAATATTCAATCATCAAAATTATTGCACGTTCAAATCACTCTGAAAACAGATCATAAAACTTCTAATTTTAAAATTTTAAAATTGCTCATACATGGACGGTATACGTTAGGTTAAATATAAAATTATGCTTACATAATAAAATACAAATACATAGGTTCCAAATGTTCATTTTTATCAAAAATATCCCATTAATAAATTAGTCAGAGTATAAAAAGTATGCTAGGTACTATAGTATGTTGTACTGGCTACTTCAATATTCGTTAAATATTTTTAGTGCTTCAATATAATATGCACCTAACTTTAATTAAATTATTCTAATACCTTAAAAGACTTATTAATTTGACCAAACTGATTAAAAGTCACATAACTAAACTGTTATTTAAAAATACACTCGATGTAAACATAATATTTTTTTTTTTTAATTTTCATACATATTCCCTATCTTTTTATAATATAGCTTACTAAAGTATTGGTCATCTGGTATATAAAGTACCTAAGTAGGTATTTATCTCATTTTCATAATTTGTTCATTTTTAATTTCAAAAACGATTTTTATACACTAAATCTATTACCAATAAAAACAAATAAGCAACTTAATCTAAAATAATAATAAAGAAACTGCGATAAAAAAAAAGATCCATAATAGTGTTATCATAACAACTGAAAAACTGCTTAAATATAGTGATCATACATTGATAACAAAATATGTGTATTGTGTATTATATGTGCATACAGCTTATCTATTTTAATACACAATGGTAGTGCCATATATAAAAAAATCATAAATATACCATATACTCATTACCATGTACATTTTAATATAACTACAAAATTATAATAGCTGCATTCTCATATTATTATATTAAATATCATATTATTGAAAATATACTGTTAGAACTTGGCAACTATGACACTTAAAAATTAACTTTGAATATGGTTAAACAACTTAAAAATAAATATATACTTAAAAATATTTTCATATGTGTGCACAAAAAAAATTACAATTTACAATTATAAATTGTAAAAAAATATCACGAGAACATTACAATTTCTAAAATTATTAGAAGTATATCTTCTATAAAACATAACAATATTCATTTTTATTTTGAACAAATTTTGGTGTCAAGGTAACATATTTATTATTTATTTACCATAATTTGTATTTGTTTTTTGATTGCACACAATGTAACAAAATACTTCAATACGCGAGATCTATGTATTTTTATTTAAATTATGATGAATTGTTATTGATGTACTATCTGAATCACGACATGAACTCGATACAATAAAACTATATGCATACAACTAGGATGCATTTGAATTTTTTATAATCAGTTAGAGAAATGATGTAGGTATTATATATTACATTATTTTGTTGTTATTATTATTGTTACTATTATACAATATTTATAATATATAGGTTACAACGGAATACGTCTTTTATTATTAATATTATATTATTTTGTGCAATTTGTATTTGTGTATAAACATTCACAAAATAAACAAATCCACAGTACAAACAAGTATTTTTTTTTTTACGAGTTCTCCAGATGGCACATTAAATATAATGAATTTAACGATTACCTTAGTAGAATATTATTAACGAACAATTTTCTAAAATATTAAATTTAAATGTATGGACTATACATCAAATAAATATGTCAGACGGAAAACTCGAGTTTTTAGTTAAGCAAAATATACCTAGTGTATACAATTTGCGTTTTAAAAACAAAAATAAATTCATAATCCCCGTTGCTGAAAACAGATTCATTTTGATACGGGGTCATTCGAATATTGCGAAAATTAAAACAGAGAACAAATTTGTCAACAATAACAACCATCAACATGGACATCAACATTTAACGAATTATATAGCCGATACTTTGGAGAAAAGTGAAAAAATAACGTTACCGACAAATAGTGCGGTATTATATTATTTTAATATTATACATACAGCTACATTACACGTTCGTTGGTCCAAAATTGGCACAATTCCATTGTATAATAAATATTATATGCGTAAAAATAATTAAAAATTTTGATTAAATAACAACTATATAATATGACCAACGAAACGAACAAAAAATAATAATGACGATGAAACGGGTGCATGTAAAATATGACGTACCTATCCTAACTAAAATAATAAAAATAATAGTGTGTGTGCACGCTTCAGCTAGAAGCTGGATACAGTTTAATTTCTTTTGCCTGTAATCTATATAAACAACGTCTTAAACAATAATGACATGCGCCTGTCACTACAATTCAACTGTTAACAATGTTGCCTATCGTTATGATGTTATTGTGAACTACAAGTACGTAGTACGTATTGTATTGTACGTACAATTAAATCACCTGACGTGAACAACACTGCATTATAATTATCTATACAGAAATTGGTATGATGTACAAGCACAACCACTATAAGCCTAAAACCAACTCGCTAATCTCCAGTATGAAAACGATTTATTGATCGTTGTATACCTACACGAAATTGAGTGATGACAGAATATTTTTCCCTCCATTTTTAGTCTATACAATAATACTATTTCGTCAAGTCGATGCACGTCGCTTTCTCCAATCTTTACACAGCCGTACTCTGGGTCTGTATGCGCACTTTTTTCACGCTCCCGTTCCGGGATAGAGTGGGCGACGTGCCGCTGAAACCGGGATTCTGGATACCCAAACCACCAACGCCCCCTCCGGTCCCGTTTCCGTTGGCCGACCGTGGCTTCTTCAAACTGGACCGCAACGGGCTGCGGATCACTGGTGTTATCGACGACCCATTAGAGCTGAGAGTGGTGGTCATCGACATTGTACTACCATTGGTCGTGCCGCTCAAGTACGGCTTTCCACTAGCATCCGTCACCGATATTTTACCACTTCCGCCGACTCCAACTCCGCCACCCCCTCCTGAAAATATATTAAATCATCCATATATAACACCTTTTACGCCATTTTGGATTGTTTACTAATWGCAGGGTCTTGAACAACTTAAAAAATAATTATATAATTTAATAAATGTTCATATTTTTTATTTTTAAACAGTTTACACAATTTAAAGTACTCAAAAACAACGTGGTTGAAATGCAAAAATGTATTTTTCAAAAAGTGATATTTTCAATTTTTTTATTCATAATKAGGTGTATGGGAACTTCAACGTACATCTTATATGAAATATTGAATCAACTCTTTATTAATAGCTTAATAAGCATAAAAGCTTAGCTGATAAGCAAGGGCAGATTCAGAACCTGTGTACGGAGGGGCACAAATTACAAAAAAATTTACGATACAGATTTTTAATAATTAATGAAAATGTTTTTAGTTTATGTTTTATGTTTTTATTGTGAATCACAGGCTGTGATCCCTCCTCCTAGATTTACCGTAACTGATAATAAATCGGCTATATGCTAGAGCACTTCTCAAAATATTAATTCAAAATTAAATGGTTATGYATGTCCTCGTTAGAAAACTTGAAATTATTATACGAGTTATATTGGAATAAAATTGTAAAAACCGAGATTTATTTTTAAGTTTTATGTTATAAAAGATTTTAGGTAGGTATGTAGGTAATATATATATTATATACTTTTTTAAACAAAAATTCATTGAGATAATTAGTTCTCTTAAAATAGTTATTCTAATATGTAGGTCTCAGGACTCAGATTAATGCAATTAGATTAGAGGATACCAACGAGTTAACCGTTTTCAGTCACGTATACTCGTATCGAAATCATCTCGACAATCGTCACGAACGTTGATCTCTATAATTTTTATAATAGGTATTTATAGTCCAAAAACCAAATTTGAAAGATAAATGTAGTTAGGATAATCAAACCCCGTTATTTTAAATTGAGTGTATTATACAAACCCTATTCATATATGCAGGCATACCACTACAAACTGTAAATAAAATATGTAACTAGTTACTCGAAACATTATTTATAATCATACAACAGATGTATAGCCATTATAAAAATATCTGAATAATAGTAAACACGTTTTATAGAATATATTTCAAAAGTTGCAGAAACAAAAAGAAGAAAAAAAACGGTAATATTTTGTCTTGTATTCGCTTTGTGAAAATAAAAATATGAGTATTAAAGAGTAGTTAAGTAATTTCACGGTCATAACTGCATTTAAATACTTATGCTTGAAATATTCAAAACTAAAACTATGATTTGCCAAAACATGTCTTATGATGTATTTATATTATGTTATTATTATTTAACTCACTTGGATTCATTGACCTCTTCTCCTTAAAGGCAGGATTATTGAATGTGGTTGCTTCTACACCAGATGGATCACGGTGACTGATGGTCGGGTCACCGCCCAAGCGACGGGAAAATATCAAATCATATATTGCAGCCACGAATAGCAAAAAGTTCAATATAATTAAACCAATCTGTTGAGTAAAAATATTATTCATCAGGTATTTATAACGATAGACAATATTAAAATAAATTATACTAATGTATCAATAACATCAGATTTTTAATACAGATCAATATTTATAATCCATTTGTTTTCATAGTACCTACCAAAGATAATATTAATAGCTACTATATTGGTACCTAATGTATTTAATATATCATATACCTACGTATAAATATATCTCATATATATTATACTGGTTTTTTATTAAAATAAAAAATAACCAGTAGCATAAAATTGAAAAATTCCACAAGAATACAAAATTTGGTTTAGTGTACAGGTAATAGTAGTAAGCAAGAATGTATGACCAAATTTTACGCTTGAAAAGAAACTACCTATGCCCTATATTTTTTTAATACAATATGAATAGAACCGCGATGATGTACGTGGAAAACTTATTTAGAAAAACAATGCACTATAAAATTATAAATATTTTTATTAATTTTGTAGTTTATATTTTACTAACATTTTAATTACCTAGCTCTAACACTGGAGTGGAAATCGGGACTTCGAAATGTAAAGAAAATAATTGTTTGGCATCGTTTTACATTATTAAATTGTAGGTAAGTACTTACTATTATGTTGTTTATTCACCAAAATAGATTTATGTTCAAATCATCGATTAAAATGAAAATTTTAATTATTGAAATTATAAATTTATTTTATACCTTTTTATATTTTCATTCATTTACGGTTAGTATAGGTGTATTTAAGAGGGATATCTAACCAAATTGACATTTATCGCCATAATTTATTCAACTAATAGTTATAATAATTTTAATATTAAATTACTATTTATTTAACTATTATTAAAACAGGTAAACGATTTATTCATTTATAAGTGTAACTTATATCGCTAAATATTAAAAATGTACCAACACACAACAATTATGCGTGCAAATCTGGACACCTTAACAAACAAAGTACAATTAGTAAAAATAAAACTTATTTTACAGATATAGTTTGTAATATAGTGATACATTTTATAGTTATTACGTCCCAATGAATGTGAATCATTTTTAATGTCAACTAACCTAGGATTTGTAATACATAATAATTTGTAAACGAGTATAATATGTACCTATACAGCTATTTATATTACCAAATTATAATTAGGTACATATTATTATAGTATTATCACGTCATGAATTACATTGTAAGTACATTAATAAAATACATAATAAGTATCTTATAAAGTATACACATTTATGCATTGTGTTTTATTTTGAATTCTTTCGGTTCTCACTTATTAAAATTAAGATTACACGGAAAACAGTTAATTTTGTTACTTCAAGCACAAAAAAACTGTCTATCTATTCACCTGCATATAAAACGATTCTCCTCTGGTCACTTGGTAGCTGTTGTCTTTGTCGTCGGTTTGAAGGGCAAATAACCCGGCTGCGATGATCGCTAGCAGAGCTGTGTACAAAAAATAGTCATCGGGTTAGGTTAGATACTGCATTCGTGTACACGCATAATATGTTCGTCATAATTTTATGGTGTAAATTATTTTTAAATTATAACGTGGGCACGTATGAATAATATATTTACTTGCTGCGAATGCAAACACTAATTTGGTAACCACGGTCTTACTATAGGCGACCACGACTTTTTCCTTTGACACCACCATGGCCAATTGCACGATGCTTAGGATGCAAAACACGGCCAGGCTTAATGTATCCGCTATGGCAAAATATCCGGCTATCTTCACCGTTTCTATCGGAAAACAATAAAAAAAAAAAAAAACGGTAATACAATTGTAATTAATCGATGATTTACATATGATATAGCTTCCACGCGCTACAGCGGAAACCGTCGAAATGCAATGCGAACGTGATTAGTAATGATTACTAACCCACAGGATGAAACCTGGATATCGAGTCTCCACATTTCGTTCGTCCGTAGTACGATTGTTTGCACATTTGCCATGGTCCAAAATAACCACGATCGATTCCTGAAGTCCCGATTTCGGCTGCAACATATTACGAACAATGAAATTATAATACAAACGGTAATTATAACAAAATATTCATAGGGCACATTTTTTTTTTGAAACATTTCAATAACTGGTGAAACTTATCCTTTCAATTGTTTACTACTCAATTTACGTGCCTTTGTCACGTAAATCATGAATATTAATTTTTATTATATTATATAAATGTATATACGATTTGTACGATTTATGTACAAACTGTACAATAATCAAATGGTAAGATCCAAAATTTGCAAATCGTCAACATTACGTATGGATATAATGTGCACAGGTACTAAACAATGTATACATTTATGATATATTTAATATATATATATATAACTACATAAACAGAATATTATAGGTAAATCTGACATAATTATTTATTTCAAAATATATTTTAAATTTAATGTTATTTTCACAGTAATTTGTTGAACAAAAAGTGTTAATGAATATCATACAGATTACAGTAAATAATATTATTGATACGATGAGCGATAAAACATCTTTTGCAATGAATAAAACTATTATATTGTTTAATTTAAACATTTTGAACATTTATATATATATATATAATAAAATAGAAATAAATTGTTTAATACTGAAATATTCTATTAAAATTTGAGTAATTCATAAAACCGATTAATAATACATATTATATTAAGAATAAAATTATAACGACTTATCACCCTAGTTAATATATAGTTTAGAAATATAAAAGTCAATAACCCGATGAAATATATTATGCTCGTATGTCGTAACAAGGAAATATAAAGATATGGATTTATATTTACCACATAAAACCTTCAAATTAGTAATGCCTAGGTAATATGACAGTATTGTTATGAAATAGTTACCTACGCCATATCAATACATTATCACATTAAACAATTTTATTATGAGGCAAAATGTTACAGCATTTGTATCTTGCATTCTTGTAAAGTAGGTATTCAAATAAAATATTAATTTAATTTAAATTATTTTAATAATGTTTTCTTGAATACAATGTTGAACAATTTTAACTCATTTAAATAAACTAATCAAATAGGTATAATGTTCTGATATACTTTTGAACAATGAAAATAATCTTTCCCATTCATATAATTTTGTTATATTTTCAATTAAATTCAAAAAAATTTAATTACAAATTTAATTACAAATTTTAAATATAATTTTAAAACTTCAAACATCCGATGACAMACATTTTTACAATCTAGGAATCGACACGAAAAATCGGCGTTTAAAACCACGTCTACCACAAGATCTTTTTATACCGGACCAAAGTGAAAACGAATATCAACCATAATTTACCACCACAAATACTAACTTTAAAATGCATACACCTATCACAATATCTTTAACAATTATAATTAGTAATAGAATCTTGTAATCCTTATTTGTAAATTGACTTGTAATAGCATGTGATATGCTGAGACATTTTAATCTAATAAATAATTTWWAAAAAAAATATATATATAATTTCACACATTTGTAAACATGAACGCGTTTTATATGCAATACTATTTGTAATAGCATGTGATATGCTGACACATTTTAATATATTAAACTTWAAAAAAATATGGAATACTAAATTAATATAGTTATTTCATAAAATAGAAAAATAAAAATAACAAATTATTTATGTTTGCATAAAATATTATTTAAATTAAATGTTTCGTGAAGACATAAAGGAAAAATTAAAATTAACAAAATTAAACATTATATAAAAAATAATATTTCAATATTTGTAGCGTTATTTTTGAATAAGGTTTCTTTACAAGTTACGACTGTTACAAAACTGCAAGTTTCATATTATATAATGAGACCTTAATACATATTAAAATTTAAGAAATATGTATTGTATATATATAAAAAAAAAGTATTATGCAATTAGGATAGAAGGGGTGTATCAAAAGTTTCAAGTAGCAGTAACCGTCTGAACGATCGATAATTGATTTAATAAGTATAGTTTCTGTGAGTGTATGGTTGAACAGATGACAACTGTCAAAAGTGTTGAAGTACATTTGCGGTGTTATCTGTTATCATCCGATGCCCAATAAATATCCAATTTGATACTCCTTTTCAAATCAAGTACGAGGACTGATAGTCGGAAAATTGCATTAAAAAGTTTACCTAACTAGAGGCCATCCTGCTCAGATATAGAACGAAACGAGACAAAATATGTCATAAAATGGCCTTTGCCTTTGAATCCTGTAAACTATTTTTTTTTTTTATAAATTGAAATATGAATCATTGATTATCTAATTGAGGATATGCATTGGTTCACGAACATGGTTTGAAATGTTTGAATGTGATCTTAAGAATAGTTTCTCAATTGCAGTCAATACTTAATGGCCTTTTTTTATTTATACATCACGTATTGTGTATTATATAGCTTTTAATTTAGAAAGAATTTTTAAATTAAATTATTTAAAATGAAAAAATTTGTTTATTATGCTGTTAGTAGTAGTGTATTAAAATTTTCAAAATTTTCAAATACGATTAACTAATAACTTTAAAAGTTACTTTTATATTAAATAATCGTGATTTCGTTTKCAGAAAAATGTAATTTACCTTAGTACCAATTCGATTTTAAATAAAAATAGTTAAAAATAGTTTAATAGGAAATATTTTATGCGAACTATAGCTAACTGTTGATAGTGTTATCATGTGCTTTTAACATCTGAAGCTCAATCTTACTAATAAATTATAATACATTGCATTTCGAGCGGAGTGATGAACGTATTTATTTTACAGTGGGTTTTTTATTTTATTTTATTTTAAAACACGTTTTATAATAGAAAAAATGCTTTGATTTTTAACTTTGAGTCTGTTTTTTGGTAGCAAATTAGATAATTTTTTATTTTAGTGAAAAAAAAAATATGAACATTCGTTTATATTTTTATATAATTATTAAAATAATTGTTTCGTAATATTTATTAGACCGTCTCCGCTTAGAATTGTTTTAATTGTATAGGTACTAAGATTTACCATTGTATCAGTGTATCACTATGAGTATTATATAGTGACTTACTCAATTATATGGAAACTTGACACCTACTATACAGCAAAGCAGGTGACTTGGTTTCATTGGTAATTTACAGGTTTTTTTTTGTTAAAAACTCAATGACAGCACTGTTACATTTTAATATTTTAATACAAAAAATTGCTGTTTATCCAATACGTTTTCAATGTTTTAAAAACAAATGTAAAATCTCAAATAGTATACCTATTATTACATGAATATCGACGAAATAATATTAGTAAATGGATCAATATGTACCAGGTGCAAATTGTTTGAATGACACCTATCGTTTAAGCATACAATATGTTATCGTAGTCACAACATTATAATAACTAACATTAATATAATTATTAATCACTGCACAACTATGTGTGTTTGTGTTCTTAAATTTGTTTATCATAATTTCTGTAAAAAATTCTTCGGTAGTAATAACAATATATGTTATCTATATAATACTTTAATCCRTGGTAGCTGTAAATACTTTAATCTCTGTAGAGTAGGTGCATTCTGACAAACTATAATAGTTTGTTTTACAAACCATCCTTACGGGTTTGGTGTTAAAAAATCTTTACCTACCTATAATGTTTTTAAAATATAATGTATTGTATATATGCATTTTGAGGAAAGAGTATAATTTAGGTTCTTTTCATCTTTTGTTTTAGTTATTATTTTCTATATTGTTAGAAGAGTCATGTTTTGTCGCAGAATGTTTTGTAAGTATGTAAGGTGTAGCTAGAGTTTATTGAACTTAAAATGTTTATCCATGAGCGCAAAGTATTTTAATTATGTTTTAAATTATGTTATACGTGCGAAAAACTATTAATGACAGATAATATTTAGTAAAAGTATAATAATAATACTACATTATTAAACTGATATTAAAACAAATTTCAACTAAAAAAAATAATGGTTTATGTAGTTTAATTATCAAGTACACAAACTAATGTTTTTATATAGGTATCTAATTTATTTAGTGTTTTAGTTAGATTTAAATTCATTATAGTTTGATTAAAATACTTTAATTTTCTGGCATTTTTATTCTTGCTTAACGATATTGATCTCGGAAATTTGTTCAAAATATGAAAAACAATAAATTTTTGTGAACTGAAATATTCAATACAGTTTAGATCAAATTTAAGAATTAATTACAATTTGTGCTTTTGATTCTTGTCATATTTTTGCTAATATATGTATATTGTATGTTTGGTTTGTAATAAATAAGCTTATAATAATTAAAACTAAATATTTGTTACAAGATTACAAAACATTTTTTATTTTTTACAAATAATTATAAATTACATTACAGTATCTTTAGTTTTTATTTCTGTATTCTATTCATTATTATTAGCATATTGAACTATTTATTTACTGGCAATTTTCAATCCGTGTTAATAATGATGATTTGAAATTTAAAAAAACAATATAATAACTATCCACAAAATGTATAATGTCGTGTGCGTATTAAAATGTTAATTAAAACACTGTTGTTCAGTTTTGTTCAATTGCATCTTAATGTATGATAACTTAAAAATTTTTCGCTTGTCACATAAACTTGCTATAAATATTTGCAGCAATTTTTCAACTTGATTTACGGTCGTTTGAGAATTGTATACTGTGCATTTAATCTCCTAGATTTTTTTTTTCATTAATTTTCGTAATCAGACAACGCCGAGTTGGCAGTGGATAAGTATAATTTTCGTATTTATACACTTGAAAGTATACTGTATATATTTTTTTTGTATAGTCTGGTAGWACTACGTGCGAAAACGACAAAATATATAAAAGAAAGTGTTGATAATAACAAAACAAAAAATAATATAATATGTTATTATATAATATTATGTTAGGTGTATATTCAATTCATAAGAATTGTGCGTATAATTGAAAAATAGCATTATAATACTTTATAGGGACGAACACATGATTCGGCCATTTTGAGCGAGATTTGAAACGAACGATCTAAGTTGATGACGAT